AAAGCAGACAAGATGTTGCTGCTGTGGATGGCCTCACTCCAGGATGTTTACATTTTGATTTGTATAGTGCAATGAATGGAAGCCAATGGCTGCCCTAAAGACAGGAAACCCACGTTTAAAACACCAAACCCAAGCCAGGAGGGAGATCATTCAAAAGGACCAGATTGCAGTTAAAAACCCAAGCAATGTGTTCTTGTTGTTTGAGTTTGTGATGGATAACAGTGGAACACTTTCAACATGTGATATGTTTATTACATGTGGAAGACTATTTCACATGGGAAGTTTTCACAAAGGCACACGTGAAAACTTCTTATAGTATTTTCTATGTGAAAGGTATGTTCGTGAACAATGACGGACACATTTACTGGTGTATGAATATGAAATAAGTTACCATATTAGAATTGTGTTCAACAGAGCCCTGCAGCGCTGCTCCTTCAGTCCTCACTGAGGTCAGAATAACATCGTGAAATGCTGCTTGCAGAGCCAATAAGGGGAAAGGAGAGGGGGGGGGGCAAAGGTGCTAATCATTTAGCGCTGCCCCCCCCCCTCTTTCACTCCGTACCAAATGGTAAATCCTCAAAGCCAGAGCTGAAAACAGGAGATCTCTACGAGCCCCCCTCCCCCAAATGAATTAGTATGACTAACAAAGACGCGAGATCCCCCCCCGCGAGCTATGCGTTAATTAACATGACAACGACACAGTGGTCCTTTGAGAATCTTCTCTCTATGAAGAGTCCGACACATGTCAACAAGCTGAAGGAGGACAAAGAGCCTTTAAGTGATCACATAACCCCCCCTCTCACACCTGAAAACTACCATACACATCAGCAACGTTATTGCGAAATGTGCGCGAGCAAATGCTTTTAGGAGGGCGACCGAGACAATAAACTATAATGCCCACTGTTCTTCAATAAGCGCTCAGAAAGTTATCGAAACTTCATTAAGGGGGCCTCCGGTCAGCACCGTGTGTGGAGGTGCTAGAACGCTGTTGTGAGGCGCGAAAAGAGTCTTTTTTCTGCCAACGGGACGTAAATGTCCAGCAAACAGGCCGGAGTGTCTCAGACCACCCGGAGAGCGTTTTACTCAAACTACAAAAAGAGTGCAACATCCTCTCTGCACACAGAGAAAATACGAGAATAACACAACTCTGTTCCACTTTTCACAACTGAAAGTGATGCAAAACAAAAGTGAAGTAAGTTCACCACATCTAGCTGTCCTGCGGGTTGAAGTGGACAGCATGTTGTATTTCATTCTGTCTTTAAGGAGCTCGCTTACCTTCACATCTCAGGTTTGGAAACAAGAAAAGCATCCAGATCAAACTCCTCAGGGAGGGGGCCATAGCGCCAGATTCTCTCCCACAAAGGAGACGGAAAGATAGTTGCATCCTTCTTCTTCTTCTTCTACTTCTGCTGGAACCTTTTTCCTTCTTCTTGTTTTTTTGCAGTCAGCACCCGGGCCCGGAGAGAACGCGCACCGTCCAGGTCGCGGCGGAGATGCGTGTTCAGAGAGGAGAACCAAAACGCGTTCATCCCCCCCACCCCCCTGTGTGTGTGCGCGTGTGTGTGTGTGTGTGTGTGTGTGTGTGTAGTCCGGCAGAACACGTCGAGGGCCGCGCGGGTCCCTCCAAGCTGTTGGTTTCTAAAGTAGCCTCTGTCCCCCCGGCACTGAAACGAGGCGTGCTTGGGGAAAACTGGAGCGGACGCACGCGCGCACTTACACGCGCACGGACACGTTTGCGTACAGGGCCCCATCTAGAGACAGGATGGTAGCTGAGCAGCCAGATCGCTGCACAACTCTGTGTAGAACTCAAAGTTAGTCCAAGATCGAGACTGAACCTCCACATAACTCATTACTGAGACTTCAAACTGAAGGTCAGGCTGTTATCAATGCTCTGATCAATTATGGTACAATATTTTGCTTCCATAATGTGTCTTCTTTAAGATTAAAACAAATCCCAAATACACGTGTGCGTTTATTTTACTACTTTGTTTATTTGCTTCTGTGTATTTCACCTACATTTTCTAAAAGTTACCATTAGATAATTTGCATATTTAAACATCACATTTCAGAAAACTTGTATTAAAATAAATAATTGTCATAATCAACTGGGAAAGTTTCGTGGTGATATATATTAGTGCCTTTTTTGTTTTACCCTGTTCAGCTTCAATGTCTTGCAAAATATGTAATTTAACAAAACATATCTTTAAAGTTCGTTTTCTCTAAATTAGTTTTTTTTCTCAGACTGAGCCAGAAATCTCCACAGCTGCTCTTACATTCACCAAACTCTACACTTTCATTGTGAAGGTTTTTACAGAGGGGTTTGTTCATATATCATCATAGCCTGATTTAAATATATTTTATTCCTTGAAATGTGGTAAAAACAGATAGTGTACAGCTGTTGGCAGTATTTTCTGACATATGGGTGAACCAAAGAGATATCCAAAGTTCTGTAAAAACTTTTGACTCCAATACTTCAACAAAAGGAAAAATATTAACACGGAAAAAATTTATTTTGAACCTGGCTTCATACAATGTTCAGATTTCTGCAAATTAGCACATATAAGAAAATGCTTAATTTCAGAAAATATGTTATCATTATAAAAGTAACTGGGTTGATGTTAGTAATCCACTGTTGAAGTTTCATTGTGATATCTGTCTCATTCACCTGTAGTGTGCCACTCAAACTCCACTGCATTTATCTGACAGCTTTACTTTTCTACAGTATTCATCCCCTTCCTGTCCAGTGAAAACCATGTACCTCCAGATGTGTTGATGTTGAATGTTTGTGATAAACTGAAGGATGAAGTGTTCTTTTATGTGTTGAATACATTCTTCTACTTCTTCAAATAAATAAACTTTTTAAAAAGCCTCTTGGATCAGCTGGAAAAAGCAGGCAGTTTGTTATTTTTAGAGAAAGGTGATTCTCACAGGACATATACACTACAAACATATTATGATCTTATAGAATATGATGCATTTCTGTAGATTAAACTAGCCAACAGTAAATAAAGGAGCTAAAAACTTCTCGAGCAGTAAAAGAAAACATACACATTCATAAACATCATATACATTAATAAAACACTGACAGGGAATATTTCACTGCACAACGAATACTTTTACTTCAAGTGCTTTTTGCTGATACGTCCATGCTTTTACTTCACTAAAAACTTTGAATGCAGGACTTGTACTGGAGTATTTTTAGTGCGGTAATAATTATTTTACTTAAAGAAACAGTGTGTAGGATTTAGGGACATCTAGTGGCGAGTACAAATACACAGCCACTAGTTACTCTGCAGCTCATAAAATGCATGTTATAGATATATTGTTACATATGTTAAATACTTCAAATGCCCCAACGTGCAATACTGTTTACACTTTAATGCACCAGTAATAATGATCAAATATGTGACAATATAACCTTTCTGCTGCATAATGAATATGTTTACTTTGATACTTAATCTTAGTGATAATGTGTACTTTTACTTGAAGCAGAACTCCACCGATATTACACGTTAAGATCAGTACTCACGAGGAGTACTACTCATAATACAATGTCTTCTGTGGCTCTGGATGATGTCCTCATCTTAGGCTTTAAGCCTACAAATATACAACTACACTTAATTGCTGTGATCTTTCTGGAGCACTTTCACCACAGCAAAACTATTTTGTTCCATCCTCTTTTCAAGCTGCTGCAGCAGCTACTCCGTTTGCCCAGTGAATTGCATTGTGGGAGAATTGTGTGCATCAACAACAGACAAAAAGTAGTATGCACACTTTTTTAGTTTGGGTATACTTCAGTCTGTCACTTTTCCAGTGTGAACACACCATGCTGAAAACCTGAGTGGAATTAGTGTATGGCATCAACACAGTTTCATCAGACAAGGAGGGGTTAATGAAAAGATACCTTAGGTTGCATTGTGGTTAATGTAGGAATTTTTGTTTGGGACTAACACGAGCAAAAGTTCAACCATTTCTTATTTCTTCTGTCTTTTGTGAGCTCCACAGGTTAAATAATCCATGGCGCTTTTATTTTGAAAGGGTGGGGAGAGGCGACAGACAGACAGTTAGATGGACTGAGAGTGATTGGGAGACAGACAGACAGTTAGATGGACTGAGTGAGTGATTGGGAGAGACAGACAGACAGATGGACTGAGTGAGTAATGTTGTACGGTTGTCTGTGCAAGATTTTTTTAAAGTAAGAATTAACATTGGTCTCATGAGATAGTTGGTTTTCCTCTCAATTAGAGGCTGTTGTGCCAAATGTGTAAATCTGTTGGATTCCACAGTCATTTGTCTACGACAGGGACACGATTAGCTACATTTCTACCAAAAATTATGCATGAAGGTGAAAATTGTGGAATCCGTGGCAATATACAAATTTTTTTTCACAAGATTCTGAAGCTCCTCTTCACTCTAGCAATGACATCACGCAGTCTGAGCTGCGCAATACACACTCATTATAAAGTCAGAAAAGGACTGAAAAAATCATAAAAGTTAAAATGCAACAGTTCAAAAAGTTTCTCAACATTTTAAAGTTGAAATGGTGTATGTAGCTGAAGGTATGAGGAAGAATAAGGATTTGAAAGTTGAAGTTTAGGAGGATTTGAAAATTTTCTCCATAGACATCCCATTCAAAAGAAAATTGCAAAAAGCTTAATAATTCAAAAAGTTTAAAGGTTAGAAACATGAAAAGTCACCGCCGGCATGTCCTTAAAGAGCTGAACATTTTGATATTTGACCGGTTTCTGTAGCTTAAAAAATGTGGAAGGAAAAAACGTACGGAAAAAATTGTTGGAAGAATAAAGATTCGAAGAACAATAGTTGGAATGCTGAATCAGCATTCCAACAAATAGGCAACCCAGAATATTCCTGCTCAATTTGTATCTGTTTGAACTCTATACTCAGGTCATGTTGTGGAAGAACTTGTCAAACTGTTTTGACCCAAAACTAATGCATGGTTATTCCACATCCACACACGAAACACCACCATACACCAGAACTCAATTTAAATCATATATATTTACATTTCATAAAAGTGAAGTTGTCAGAATGCAATGACCTCTAACAAAAGACAAAGAAGAAAATAGGTTTAAAACTCAGTGTCTACTTGTGGTACAACAACCAGCGGCATATAAAATCACAACCCCTGTGTACAATTCATGTACTAGTCGACTGCAAGCAATAAATAAAACAATAAGATAAATGTGTCCTCTTTGGTCAGTACAGGAAAAGCAACAAGTCATTTGGTCCGTCCAGATCAAGTCGAACTCTCACTGCAGTTGGTTTTCTTTCGCAGCGGGAAGTCAACTGCAAATCATCCTGCTGAAGGCCCACTCTTGCATTCATAACAATATACAACACGTTATGACACATGAAGAATGAGAACACGGAGAGAGGCAATGTATTAACAGACAAACAGAAGCGAGGCTAGAAGGTATAAGGTGTGTTTAACGGTGGAGATCCTCGTGGGGAGGCGTTCAGTGTACAGGGCTCACAGTCTGTGGTCGGGAGTGTCCTCCTCACAGTGATGTCCTACCGGTCCACTGAGTGGACCACTGCCAGAGCTCCAGTGACGGCTGCTTAACGTTTCAGAACACTACATGGTCATTTGAGGACAGCTGAAGCCGCCTCCTGGATACAAGACATGGCCTTCTGGACGTCCTCCTCTGTCTGCTCGATGGTGACCACCACTCTGATGCTGAGGACACACAGGTGGAGCAGTCAGACAGTGTCCAGGCTCACGGATCCACTTCAACATTTCAACACTCGTATCCATACGCAATCAGACATTATAATAGGCTGTGTCAACTGCACAGTAAAGTGGAGACTCTTACCTGGGTGAGGGGAGGAAACGCTCCTCTTTCTCCAGGTAGCGAGCCAGAGTCAGAGCCACGCGTCTCTCCAGACACTGATGTAAAAACAATATGGAAACAACTATGAGCCACTAAATAATAATCTCTTGTCATTTAACTCTAAATTACACGTCACTGTTTGAACGACAGCTGGTTGTGGGAGAACTTTGAAGTATGGTCCAAAAAACATTTAGCAAATCTGTAGTTCTGAGCATAACACAGTTCAGATTCAAAGCTGCAGCACAAAATTATGTTGTTGTCTGTGTGTTCACTCGGAACATTAATGGCAGAAAAAATGTGACAAAGCTGAAATTTTTATGACCAGCGGGGGGGGGGATTAGACATTCCTTTACCCAGCCATTTGGGGTGTTTCCTGTGGGGTCTTTAAATTCTGAAGACGTTAAGGGTTTTTTGGGGGAGTTTTTCCTGTACTGATGTGAGGGTCCTGGGACAGGATGTTGTATGTGTACAGATTGTAAAGCCCTCTGAGGCTAATTTGTGATTTTGGGCAATACAAAATGAATTGAATTAAACAAAAGTGGACCTACATAGTCTACGATGGTGCGGAGCAGCTGCATGTCAGAGTCTCTAGAGCCAGAACTTCTCTCCAGCTGTAAGTGAAGAGCCGGGGCAAACTGCACTCCAACTAACTTCAGACCTGGAATTCTGTCACACATCAGGAAAAACACAAATCATGACATAATGCAACGCTGTTATAATAGACTATAACACGCATCTATTCAGCAACACTGAAGCTTTGAAGACCATTTCATTGTGAATTAATATGTGTCCTTGTCACTGCTAACTCCAAGTATTAACCAACCCTCCAGCTCCAGATAAGGCTCTATGCAACCCTGTCTTCTTCAAAGGTAAGTTCCTATACAACTAAACTGCTTTCTCGATTAAGTTCAGAGAGAAAAGTAGTTCCTCATGGATTGCCGTCACAATCTACTTGCTTAGGTTTAGGAAAAACATCATGGTTTGGCTTAAAAATAAGTACGCCAAGGTATTTAAGTTACAAAAGTCAATTATAATAAGTTGACATTGATTTTGGTTTCACACGGGACACAAAATGCAGCCTGGAGCTGATGCCAGCTGACATTGGGCGAAGGCAGGGTTCACCTGGACGGGTCTCCAGACTATCACAGGGCTGACACATGGAGACAGACATGCTCACATTCACACCTACAGAACAAGA